GTGGGTGTTTTTTTTTTTTTTTTTTTTTGCTCCGCTCTGGCCGCCCGTTTAGGGGGCAGCGGCGTGGAGGACGGGAGCGCCCTGCAGCAAGCCCAGCAGGGCAGTCCATGTCCCTTCCCTCCCAGCTGACCGGAGTGGTGCGGAGCCCTCCTGGCAGAGGGCACGGCAGGAGGGGCCTCGTAGCAGCGCCCCACTGAAGCCCTGGCCGCCCCCTTCTCTCTCTCCCCCTGTTCTCTCCATGCTAGCTGGGGCACATCTGCAGGACAGGGAGTCCCCCTGCACCCTGGCTCCTGCAGGTGGTTGGTTTTGTTTTTTTTGCTTTGCTGTTCTGGCCGCTGCGGGTTTTTCTTTTCTTTTTTTTTTGCTTGGGGCGGCCAGAAAGCCAGAGCCGGCCCTGTTAGCGTCTAGCTCCAGTCCCGATCCGACAAACAGTCAGTACCAGACATAGTCCATACAATGATAATTACCCCCTCATTTGTTACTCCAATTTACAAAAACATCTCCTTGTGGGTTTTGCCTTAGCACAGTGCCAAGGAGCTCCAATCAAGGCCATGGGCCCCATTGTGCTGTGCATCATTAGGTGCCTTCCAAGGTGTGACATCCTTACTCACAGCCAACAGTCCTGTTGACATTAACAGGCCTGCTTGCGAGGCAAGGGCCTGCTCAGTGCAAAGAAAGGGCCTGAAAGCTGGTCTGTCGTATCAGCAGGCCCTGCCCCAAATTTCTCACAATCTAGGTTTATGCACAGGTGCAAAAGGTGCCTGAGGAACACACACAGCGGGAGGACGAGGTAATGCGGTGCAATAAGCAGCAGTCTCAGTTTGGCTAGGCAGGTGGTGACTACCTAATGCCAGCTCCCCCTATCCCCCTTTAAAGGTGTACACTGACTCACATTCTCTCCACATTGTAAGCTGTGAGAAAACCCATTCTGCAGTTTATCTTTGCAGAAACCAAGCAAAAATAAAAGCTTTTCTTGCTGCACTAGATTGGTTTGCTGAGTTTTTGGAATGGACATAACCCCTGGTGTAGCCGCAGCCGACGGAAGGCGGTTGTCCTGAAGGTGTAGGAACACCACCACCCCAAACGATGGGAAGCATTTGTCCATCGATAGCTGCAGCTACATGGGAGGGGAGGGGAGGGGAAGGGAAGTTAGGTATGCACAGTTATGGTGCTCCCCGTGTGGCTTTTGCACAGCCCTGCCCTATGTTGCTGTGGTTACCTAACTTTTAATTGTAGCCCCAACCTGGGTGTCCAAAGGGTCGAGGTGCTGGGGCACCCTAATGTTACAGCCACGGCATGTGGCGGTAAGATCAGCCGGGTCAGCGCTTCTTAGCTGATGTAAATCAGTGTCGTATCACTAAAGTCAAGGGCCTGGTGAGGATTTAGGCCTTCAGGAAACCAGCCTGGCATATGTTGTTAAAGGCCCATCTTCCAAGCGCCTTCCCCAGCTTCCTCCTCTGGGAAACGCTGCTCTCAGAGCCACTCTCCAGCCCACTGGGCAATGCCCAGTCCTGTAGATGGGCCTATAAATAAGAACCCAGGCAAGTGTATGGGGTAGCTGGATGGGGGTGAGAGGGAGCCCCCCCCCCCAAAAAAGCCTGAAGGCTACAGGGGCGGGGTGTGTTGGCCTTGCCTGAGCCAGTAACAATGCACAGCACCGAAAAAGCCAGCGAGGGGGCTGCGAGAAGCCCGTTCCCCTGCCGGGGAAGTGACTGAACATGCACAGAAGGGAGGGGGGGGCCTAGGGTTCGAGGGGGGCAGGGCCCCTTGGTTCTCCACCCACCCCATTAAGCTAAACCAGCGAGCGGCAGGAGGCGGGGAGAACCAAAGCGAGCGGCAGGATTTCCCCAATACCTCTCCGGCGGCAGCAGCCCCCTGTGCCCGAGCGGCTGCTGCGAAGCGCAGGACCGGCGGGGCCGGGCGAGCTCTCCCTGGCTGCCGGCGCTGGAGCGCGCCCAGGCAGCCGCCGAGCCAGTTCCGAGCGCTCAGTCCCGCCGCGGGGGACCGCTCGCTGCACCGCACGTAAACGGCCGCTGCTTGCGCTCGGCTCCGCGCCTCCCGCCGGTTCTCCGGGCGCACCCGGCCTCCCGCAGCGGGGTGCGGGGCTCCGGGCCCGGCTGGCGTCGGGGTGCAACAGGGTGCGCGCGCGGGGGAGGTTTGCGCTTTACAAACGCACGAGGGACCCCCCCCAGGGGCTCCCCAACACTGAGCGCTGGCTCCCGGTCTGCTCGCCAGGGGGAGGCGGTGGGCAGCCGCCTGCCCTGTGCCCCCGTCGCCCCGGCTCTGCTGCAGGAAGGAAGCGTGTAAAGCCAAACACTGGGCACCAATCCCCAGCCCGGCTCCGCTTCGCTCCTGGCGTGGCCCGGCGAGGCAGCCTCGGGTCGATCCGTGCCCCTGCTCCCCATGCACCCCCCGCGTGCGGAGAGCGGGGCCGCGCCCGGCGAGGCGAGGGGGGGCTGGGCTAGTTTGCCCGTCTCCGTGCACCGAGCACAGGGGCGGATCCGTGCGGGGCGGAGACGGGGGCGCTGCTGCTGGGGCTGGAGGGGGGCGGGTCGGTGCCCTGCGTTCCCCGCGCCCTGCCCTGGAGGCGCTGTCAGTGGCCCAGGTGCAGGGGCGGGCGGTGGATCGCCGTGCGCTCTGCTCCGAGGAGAGAGGTTCGGGGTGAGCCGAGCGCTCTATCCCCGGTTCAGCGATTGGTGACAAGGGGAGGGGGAGCGTGCGCTGTATCCCAAGGCAGGGAGCCAGGGGATCTGCGCCTGGCGGAAGGGTCCGGTGTGCTTTGCTCTAGGGAGCGAGAGGGTCTCATACGTGCGCTCTGCTTCGGGGACAGGGCTGGGGAAGGGGGCGCCGTGCGCTCTGCCCCGGCGGTAGGGTCGGTGCGCTCTGGGCCGAGGCTAGGGACAGGAGTGGAACCGTCTTCGGGAGCATTAGCCTCTTGCCCTGGGCTTTGCTAGGGGCAGGGCACCCTGCGTGACCGAGGTTGGGAGCGGATCAGGGCTGGTCTTGTCTCTGATGCGCCCTCTCTGCTCCCTTCCCCCGCAGGGTCAGCTCGGGCTGCGGGCAGCTGTGCCAGAGCGGGGGCGGCTCGTTGGCTGGACTGTGGGGCTCCTGGCCGTGCCCGAAGCCCTTCACCTCCTACCTTCAAGCTCAGGGAGGAGGCGGATTTTCTTCAGCTTGGCTCCACTGCCCCCCAGAGATGGTGGGCCACCTGCACCTGCAAGGAATGGAAGAGAGTCTGAAAGAGAAGAGCCGGGAGGGCCTGCTGGACAGTCCGGATTCCGGGCTGCCTCCCAGCCCTAGCCCCCCTTTCTACACCTTGGCTCCCGGGATCATTGGGGGCAGCAGCACGGGGACAGATCACCCAGGACATGGGCCCAGAAAGGAAGCCAAGGAAGGCAAAGTGGTAAGAGCCTTTCCCACCCCCCTGGGGCCCTACAGCTTCCTCCCAAGGATGAGAGGCTGGGATGGTTCCTGTTCCTGGCTCCACAGGGGTTTAAGTGGGGGGAACTGTCTCCATCTTTCACTGGGGACCACCCCCTATTCCACATCAGGACGCTTTTGTTCTGGGATCTGCCCCCAGAGAGTTTACAATCCAAATAGACAAGAGAGACAAAGGGTGGGAGGAAGAAAGTGGGTTTGTACGAGCCTGTTTGGGTGTCAGAGGCAGGCAGGGAATGAGATGAGTGACTCAGACCCAAACCAGGCTTCCAGGAGCTTCCAGCATTGGATCCCAACCTGGATCTGGGTTTCACAAATAGACCCTCTTTATAAACCCAACCCCCTGCACCTCAGGGTGACCTGGATGTGGTCTCTAGTGAGGAGTGAGACTCCCTCATGATTAATCCCTCTCTTCATTCAGGCTTCATGAAGTGAGATGGGCCACTGGTGAACCCCAGAGGCAAAACATTAAAAGCTCTTACAGAGCACGTCATGGGTTAAGCCTTCCTGAAGACAGCTACACTTCAAACCTAGAACCCCTGCTCCAGCTGCAAACTGTGGAAGCAGCCAGCAGCCTACTTCCTTACTGTGCTGTTAGGATTGGCTGGCAAAGGTTTGGCCCCTGGTGGACAACCAGTGACAGAATTCAGGGGGATCTGGGGACATTCAAAGCCCCCATCAGTTCCCTGTGGTGAATTATTTGCAGTTTGGATTGGGAACTGGAGGATAAATCATACGAAGGGTTTGCTAATTAAAACATATCAGACACATGCTCCAATTTCCAGTGTAAAGAAAGAAATAAGAAATCAGCCTCTCAGTGGCTCTCAACCTTTCCAGGCTACTGTACCCCTTTCAGGAGTCTGATTTGTCTTGCGTACACCCACGTTTCACCTCACTTAAACTACTTACTTACAAAATCAGACATGAAAATACAAAAGTGTCACAGCACACTGTTATTGAAAAAGTGCTGATTGTCTCCTTTTAACCATATTCTAAAATAAATCCATTGGAATATAAATATTGTAGTTACATTTCAGTGTATAGTATATAAAGCAGTATAAACATGTCATTGTCTGTATGAAATTTTAGTTTGTGCTGACTTTGCTAGTGCGTTCTATGTACTCTGTTGTCAAACTAGGCAAAAATCTAGATGAGTTGATATACCCCCAGTGGTACGTGTGCCCCTGGCTGAGAACCACTGGCCTGGGTGACATGGTTCTGTACGGTAAGAGAGAGTACAAGGCTGGTTACTGCAATGCTACATGTGGCTAGGTCTGAAGTTGTGACTAGACATACCAGAGCTGGCTTCTCAGCTTGCTGAAACGGTTTCATTCCAAATCAGTCTGATTTGTTTGTGAGCCTGAAGCAACAGTGCTACAGTCATTTCTGCTCTGAACGTGGAACAGTGCGCTATTCAGAACAGTGTATGTACATGTGTCAGGGCCGTTGGTATCAGAAACAAGATTTGGAAACGTTCATGTTCTCTTCCAAAGGATGAAGTTGTTTTTGCTTGAGAGGTGGCTCTGTGCTACTGCTCTTTGCTTGAATCGTGCTTCAGAGAGTGATGCAGTTTGAAAAGTTATCCGTGGTACGGCTGAACAGTACAGCTCTATTGGAACGCCTGGCAGCAGCTATTTAGATAGAAGCCTGATTCTGATCATCTTGACAAAGGGTCTGTGAAGTGTTTGAGGTTGGAGGAGGATTTAAGCAGATTTATTATGATTTTTGTTCTGCTTCATTTTGTCAATTTCAATCTGTTGAATTATAAATTGCTTTTAAAGACTGAGGCTTAGAAGGAGTTGCTGGAGGGAAGGATTTTGCCCAAGGTTCTTTCAAACATTTTTCTGTTAAAAAAACAAACAGATTTTTAGGTGTATTCAACCAGACGTTTAATTGGCTTAAATACAAAGTAAAAACTATATGCAACAATGAGATGTTAGTTCTCCATAGGAAAGAATAACACTTTATGAATTTCAGTTACCACCCTAGTACCTTCTTCCCCCTGTGCAGATTTGCACTGAAAGTTCACCTTTTCAGGTTCTCAGGATGTGTTTAATGTTTTATTGAAAACTGACCTTTACACCTTAATATGCCAAAGTCCTCACACGAGTACTAACTAAAAAGCAACAGAGGGTCCTGTGGCACCTTTAAGACTAACAGAAGTATTGGGAGCATAAGCTTTCGTGGGTAAGAACCTCACTTCTTCAGATGCAAGTAATGGAAATCTCCAGAGGCAGGTATAAAAATCCATTACTTGCATCTGAAGAAGTGAGGTTCTTACCCACGAAAGCTTATGCTCCCAATACTTCTGTTAGTCTCAAAGGTGCCACGGGACCCTCTGTTGCTTTTTACAGATTCAGACTAACACGGCTACCCCTCTGATACGAGTACTAACTGTTGCTCACCAAAGTAATAGGGTGGGTTTTAATTTTAAAAAACAAATTCATAAAGTAAATATTGAGGTTCCAAACTTGGAGCCTCATCCCACATGTGAGTAAGTTTACACATAGGAACAGTTTTCATTAACTTCAGGGGGTTATCTACTTGGGTACCCCCATGCCTAAGACTTTGCAGGATCTGGTCCTTGTTATGCATTTGTAAAATGAAATGTGTGAGGAGGGATTAATGAACTGAAAAACAGCTAGAAACATGTATAAAACTCTACTATGGAGTCAGATCAGCTGCCATGCAGATAGTTATCAGAGACCCTGTACACTCTTCAGTCAGCCCCTCTGAAAAGGAGATTGTACAGAATGGCACCTTACTTATCAGAGAACAAATTCAGCCTTGGTATCAGTGGGTGCAAATAATGGAATAGCGGAATACTCTGGCTGAATTAATCCCTGGGGTCTTCTTGACTCCTGTAGAATAAATATTTTCTAAGATTTATGGAAAAACAAAATTATATTGTCCAGCTATTTCTTTCATTTTGAACACACAAACATTAGGCAGCATTTTGAGAGGTTAATGTTACAATTGTTTGCCAACTGGACACCACATTACAACAGTGTTAGCTGTCAGCCCTTGCTGTTAGGATGTAGGCTTGTTATGTGGTGGATGCTTTATGCTCTAGTAGGTGTAGAAGAAACACAGACCCACTAATATAAAAAGCAATCTTATGCGCTAATATGGAGGAGGAAGCAATGCAAGTGCTTGAGACATGGGACTGTACCATAAGTGGAGATTTACTCTAATCAGACTTGCAGTTGGCACACTGCAAAATAGTGAAATATGTTATTTATTTGTATGGAACTGTCATTCTACTTTTCTATAAATGGAATTTCGTTCCATCTAATTTTCACTCTGTGAATACTGTGCTTGCAACTGGTTCTGTTAAGAAAGTAAAACTATGAAGAATGATGCTTGCTTCATACTATTAAATGTCAGCTTCTAATTAGCTTTCATCTCACCATTTAAGGAGAACTCACAGATCTGTGAGTAATTATGCAATCCATGAATATGTGCTCCTGTTTTAATTGCCCTGCTCTTTGCAGTTTATCAGAGAGCATGCGCAATTGGTGAATCAATAATTAATGCTATTTGCAGACTAAATC